TTGCTGCGGACGACACATGTGCTCCTCCGGGCGCTTCGTTCAACGCGAACATCGACTCCAGCGAGAAGTAGTCATCACGGTCGCCAACAATCAGAACCTGCGCACACGACGACAAGGAGCGGTACAGCTTCAGTCACGAGAAACAAATGTCATATTACACATGTCAAAGGTACTTATCGCGGAGGGACTAGGCTACAACTTACTGAGTGTCAGCCAGTTGATGGCGAAAGGCATCCACTTGGAAGCCGACAGCACCACCCAGGAGTTTAAGTTATACCACGGGAAGGGCGACCTCTACATCGGAAAAGCAGTGTTGAAGAATAACGTCTTCGTCCCGGACCTGGGCACTGCAGACAGCGACGCCATCGTCAACTTCACCGACTGGACTCATCCTCCGGATCTCGATCCCGACTTCAGCCCAGGAGGTTTCTGGTACTCGCACACCATCCCTGAAGCAGAACGAACACGAGCATTAGCAACGATTCAACAAACGACAGCAGCAGAGACAACATCGACAGCAGTAGAGACAACATTGACAGCAGCAGAGACAACATCGGCAGCAGCAGAACCATCATCGAAAGCAGCAGGACCAACGACACCAGTCATCGAAACACCACCAACACCCGCACAACAGCTGAACCCGACTCAACGAGAAGTCCACCGAAGCGCAAACATCGTCGCCAACTTCTACTCCAACTCTGACGCGTATCAACGCTCACCCGGACATCGCGCTCCTGAAGACATCTGGCACGCACGCACAGGACATCCAAGCAATACGGTGTTAAACAACACGATACGAGCAGGAGTTCTAGACAAGGATTCGCTACTACTACTCGACGGCAGAGAACTTCAACGTGCACGAGGGACTTGCCTCATCTGCCCCGAAGCCGACTTACCCCATCGACCGTTTTCCTCTCACCACAACCCGAGCGCACCTGCATACGCACCACTCGAGAAAGTTTACAACGACCTCTCTACAATCGAGAACCAGGACAAGTCACCTACAATTACACGATCACCTTCATCGACGCCGCCACTCGATACGTCTGGCATCGCAACCTACCCAGCCGCGACATGGCACTCGCAGCATTCGCCGCTTGGCTACCGGTAGCAGAGAGGGAATCAGGAACACAACTGAAAAGCTTCCAGTCAGACGGAGGAGGAGAGTACACCTCTCAGCGCTTCAAGCAGTACCTGGCGGAAAGAGGGATCAAGCAACTCCTCTCCCTTCCCTACGCACATCAGCAGCAAGGTGTAGCAGAAAGAATGAACAGGACTCTGCAGAACAGCATGCGCAAATTGCTACGTGGCATGCGGCTACCCAACCACCAGTGGCCTGCAGCAATGGACCATGCTGTCATGCTGCACAACTTGTTGTCGTCGTCGTCACTCCCGAACAACGCCTCACCGCATCTGCTGTGGACAGGGAAGCTGGGCAGCACAAGAATGTTACGAGTTTTCGGATGCATGGTACAGTACAGACCCCCAGAAGCACGAGCGGGAAGATTTTCACAACGGGCACAGTGGGGACTACACCTCGGCATCGAGAAACATTACAACGCGTGGAAAATCTTCGACGTCCACACAAAGGAAACAGTAGCAGCACGTGATGTGATCTTCTACGAGCGACTCACCCTTCAGACGTACCTCGCCAACTTGCACGAGAATCGGGACCTCACAGGTGGCTTTCGTGGTGACCGAGCCTTCGCCTCAGCAGCGGACGAAGCAGACTGGGATGAACAGAACGTCGACAACGCATCGGAAGAAGCCGGCCTCTCCCGTACTGCTCCGTCGACGTGCCCATGGACGAGGAAAATCCTCGCGACAGTAACAACGCCGAAGTCTTCTATCACTTCGCCGACAACGGTTACGTAACACCTGCGACAGTCAACACAAATGAAGCAGAAAGGATAGGGCCAAATTTCATACCCGATCCAGAAGCAGGAGACAAAGCAGCTTATCCCGAGGATACAACACTCCCCCGATACTCACAGACTGGGTTGCAAATCCTTGGTCTCGTCACCGCAGTCCACGGGAACACAGGCAGCACGCTTCCTAAAGAGCCTGCGACAGTTCAGCAGGCTCTGGGGGGGGAACACAGGGAGAAATGGCGTGAAGCCATGGACAGGGAATTAAAAGCATTAGAGGAACGCAACACCTGGAAGGTCGTTCCCGCAAGCGTGGCACGGAACAAGACCATTCTCACCGGGAAATGGGTCTTCCGCATCAAGACGAAAGCTGACGGCACAATCGAGAAGTTCAAAGCACGCTGGGTCGTGCGTGGATTCGACCAGGAGCAAGGACGAGACTTCACCGAAACATTCTCCCCAGTCAGTCGACATACCTCTCTCCGAATCCTTCTCGTCGTCGCCGCCATGAAGAAGAAGCTGCGACAAATCGATGTTGCCAACGCATTCCTCTACGCACCCGTCGACGCCGAAATCTTCGTCGAACTCCCACACGGCACTCACGGAAATCCTAATCAGATCTGCCAACTACTGAAATCGCTCTACGGAATCAAACAAGCCCCGCGACTGTGGCAACAGCACCTACACACCCTCCTCACTCGCATCGGATTTGGCCAACTGCCTCACGACCAAGGAATGTACCGCCTCACCAAAGGCGCAGACTACATCCTACTGATCGTCTATGTCGACGACTTGCTCTACATCGGCTCCACCGACGACGTCACCACCTGGTTCGAAGGGGAGCTGCAGAAAGACCTCACGCTCACGGTCTCTTCTACCGTGACCCAGTACCTCGGGCTCAACATCCGCGAAGAAGAAAATGCGATCTACCTAAGCGCTGAGAAATACGCCGACACCATCGCCAAACGTTTTTCACTCACACCTACCGCCATCGCCACACCATACCGCTACACGGCAGGAAACGACAAGGGAAATTCCGCTCCACTCAAAGCTGCCGGAATACGAGACTACCAAAGGAAACTGGGCTGCCTTCTCTTCGCAGCTGTCACCTGTCGCCCAGATCTATCCTACTCCGCAAGCCAACTCGCCACCTATCTCAAGAAATCCGAAGCAAAGCATCTGGCGGAGCTCGATCGCGCACTACACTACTTCGTGAGCACACCGACGATCGGCCTGACTTACTACAAAGGCGAAGCTACGACGACGAAACTAATCGGCTACGTCGATGCTGACCATGCCGGCGATTCTGATAACAGGCGCTCTCGCACTGGCTACGTCTATCGTCTCGAGCCTATCGGACCTATCTCCTGGCAGTCGAGTAAGCAGGAACTAATCGCTCTCTCTTCAGCTGAAGCAGAATATATCGCCCTCTGTTCAGCCACCAAGGAAGGACTCTACCTTCGCGAGCTGCTGGAAGAAGCAAAGTTAGCAGAGTTACCCAACTTCACCCTATTATGTGACAACCAATCTGCAATTCGCATCGCCAACAAAAGCGGATTCGCGAACAGAACGAAGCATATCGCTCTGCGATACTTCTTCGTGAAGGACGAGATCGAGAAAGGGAAACTCGAATTATCCTACTGTCCCACATCCGAGATGGCAGCCGATTATTTGACCAAGAAACTCGGAAAACAGAAGTTCGAGTACTGCATGATGCTGACCGGACAAGGCCACGTCACCATCAGCGACACTCCAGAAGCGAAGGGGAGTGTTGGGAATAATAAGTCTTAAGCGCCTCTGTCGTGTCGAAACTCAGGACACTAGCGAAGCAGTCCGAATCGAAGCATCGCGAGTCAACCCTCGGAGGTTAGGGTAACCGCCTGGAGGTTACGAGAAGGTCAAAGGTCAGCGACCTTTGACTTGACAAATACAGCGCGACAGCAAGGACACACAACTGACTCGACATTGAGCAGTTGCCCGAGTCGCACTGTATCGAATCGCAACAGTAAAACAGTTTTAACTTATCTATTCGTATTCCTTGTACTCTTATATAAACCTATGTATTTGCTTGTTTAATTAACTTACTTTGCCCTCACATACTAGCGCAAGGTGGTTCAAGTACTTTCATTCAAACGCTTCCGCTACTACAATTCTACTCAGACTTAAACTCTACAAAGATCCTAGGGCACTTCAGCCCAACAGCATCTACCCCCCCCCCCAAAAATTGAGATTGTGGGGAAGCGAATGTGTGGATGCGGTCCGAGAGAAGATCGTAGGCTCTGAATACCAAGCGTTGCGAGTGCAATTGAGCGAGCGAGCGAGAATCACACTATCGAAGCAAAACAATACAGTGAGCGAGAACTAAATAACGAAGGCTACATTGGTAACGGTAACAAACTGTGGCTCACGCACAACGGGCCTGAGACGGAGGTCGGGAAAGTGTCGAGGCGGAGGCCCGGAGTGCGGGTTACCAGCCGAGCCGGGAGGTTGGGTTGCGACGTGCGAGGTGGCGGGAAGATTGTCGAAGCGAGGATCGCGAGTGGTAATGGTGCTGGATGTGGTGTGGATGTGGTGCTATAGTGATGTACGCGCTCGGCGTAAGGAAAAAGGAATTTCCTTACCGGTATCTTATAACAACCTGCAAGTTGGTCTTCTAAGCCAATCGACACCACTGGTTGAGAGTTGTCCGGCAAAGCTGGAGATGCCCTTTATCCGATAAAAGCCCAGCGGATATTCCTCCGCCACATCAACCACAGCCACGCTGAACTGGATGCGAATCTTGAGGAACCGCTTGATTTCGTAGCGCTACAATTGGATGACGATATCTTTATTTCGTGAGGGGAGCTTCGTCTTTCGTCGCAGCCTCTCCCAAGGCAGCCCGTGCAGCATCTTCGCAACAGAAATATTCTCCCATGCAGAAAATTCCTCCGCTTTGGGCCATCCCATCAATCGCCAAGCCTCACCAGCTCCAACTCATTTCAACAGCTGCGAATCTGCGAATCAACATCCTTGTCATTCCCTACTACTCTGTCTGGAACTCACGCACGCTTGCTCTTTCTGTTCATTTAAGTCTTCAAGCACGCAGAGAGCGTCGCCCCGCTATCAAAGCAGGGCTTAGTTGGTGTAGGCCGCATGGCGTCGCTCGTCAGGTCGCCGTCCCTTCTCGCCGCGGCCCCCTCTACACACACTTCGCAACAACCAATTACGCGTCCACGCCAACGACGCGCCGTCGTCTCCTTTCCGTCATCCCGCAACCTCGCATCCTCCTCCTCGCCGCACCGCATGTCGAATGCCCTTCCGCACTCTCTCCACTCTCGAACTGCTCGCCAATCAGATTCTCCAAAGTCCGCGCGGCTCGACGTGGTTGCGGCTGCCACAGTGACGCGTCCCGCGCAGAGCTCGTCGGACGACTCGGCGTGGAGCAACAGCAGCGGCCACGACGAGCATCACCATCATCAGCACGATCACGACGCGGCGGCGCTGGAAGCGCATCACCATTTGAGCGAGGAGGACTTCGCGCAGCGATGGGTGCGGCAGAAGCGTCGCATCGTGCTCTTCGTCGAGCCCTCGCCTTTCGCGTGAGCACCTTGCGACTCGTCGTCGTCGTCGTCGCCGTCGTCTCTCGGTTTCTACCAGGTCATCGTTGTCGTAGAAAAGTCGGAACTCCCGTTTCTTTGGGAGTCAGTCGATGTAGAAAAAAAAAAAGAGACTGGGCCTAAATGACAAGTAATTGTCCCCTCCGCTTCTCTGTTTTCTGCAGGTATGTCTGCGGGTACAAGAACCGATTTCAAAACTTCATTCGCTACCTGCGCGAACACGGCGACGAGGTGAGTTGCACTGGCAGGCGCAACGGGGTTACAGGAGAAGCAAGTTTGGGGGCTGTGAAATGAAGGCGAGAGTACTGGTTGGGACGGAGCGGAAGGAATTTTGGAATGCATTCGTGGGCGTGCATTGGGAAGGGCTCATGGCTGTGAACGCGTGGTGGAGTGGAGTGGAGGGGAGTGGAGCACGGATGTAGCAGACACGCGTGTCGTGGAGCGTTCGCACCTGTGGTTCACGGCATCGTCTCCTCGCACGTGACGTTAGCCGCTGCTGCTCTCCCACACCTGCGCCCATGTCCTTTTCGCCCTCCCTCTTCCCGGCCTCGCTTTTACCGCCAACCCACTCCCCTCCGCCCTTCCTCCCTCCCGCGTGCGTGTGCGTGGCATCAGGTGCTAGTGGTGACGACGCACAAGGGCGTGCCGGACCACTTCCATGGCGCCAAGGTCGTGCCCTCCCTCAGGTACTGTCCTGCTGCCAACGCTTTTCCTCGCTTTCTCTCATTCTCTCTTTCTGCCTTCTCCACTCCACCTATACCCCTTCAGCCATCTCACCACCTCACCCGGCTCTCATCCTCTTTCCTGCCTCCCCTCCTCTCCGTCCACTCCCTCCCCCTTTCCCCCTCCTCCCCTTCCCCCCCGTGCGTGGCGCAGCTTCCCTCTGCCGTTCTACCCCATCCTACCGCTCTCCCTGGCGCTCAGTCCGCGCATCTACAAGGCCGTGCGGGACTTCCGCCCTGACGTCATCCACGCCACGTCGCCTGGGGTCATGGTACAGTGGGCCGTGTTTGCTGGGCTGGGCCGTGTTTGCTGGGCTGGGCCGTGTTTGCTGGGCTGGGCTGGGCTGGGCTGGGCTGGGCTGCAGGGTGCAAGTGCAGATGGGAACGTGTGCAACGTATACCATAAGGCGTGTGTGCATCAGCAGCTGCCGTGCTGCACCGTCACTTTGTAATAGGCGCAAGAGAGCGCTGCCACATGTGACCAAGCGCACCGTGCTCGTGTGAGTGCCAGCAGTGCTGCTTTCTGACCAACCCTCTCGTTCCACCTCTCTCCCGTCTCCGATCTCCCCAACCCCATGGCAGTGCTTCGGCGCGCTGGTGATCGCGAAGCTGTTGAGCCGGCCACTCGTGTTCTCCTACCACACACACGTGCCCGCGTGAGTCCTGCTGCCATGCATGCCCGCTGACCTCTCCGCTGCCTGCTCGAACGTCCCCGCGCGCACGGCTTCACATCTGACAACAGACGGTGAATCACCATTGCACACACGCGTTCATGAAGTGAGGTACACGCGACCGGCTGTGCACATGTTCCATGCTCTCCATCCTCTCTGCCCTTCGTGCCTCCTCCCGTCATCTCCACCTTCCTCCCTCGCCCCCCTTACCCACCGTGACCTCTTTCCCTTGTCGCGCCTCTCGTCCCTGTGGTGCGCCGTGCAGCTACATCCCCAAGTACACCTTCACCTTCCTCGTCGGCCCCATGTGGGCTGTCATCCGTACGTCGCTCCCCTCCACGCCCCTGCCCTCTCTCCCCTTGCGGCCCCATCCCTCCTCATTCCTGGTTCTCCCTCTCCTTGCCTCGCACACCCTCTCTGAGGTTTCCCTTGCCATTTGCTGCACCTGCGCTTTCCACCACCACACCTCCTCGCCTTCCGACTCGCATCACAACACCTCCCAATCCCGCACTCCCACTCCTACCTCTCCTTCCTCTTTCCTCGCATGGTCGCTTACCCCCATGCCCTCGTTATTCTCACTGCTCCTCCCTCCCACGCACACCCTCCCTTGGATAGTCACGGGCCCGGAATGAAGCATCCACACTGCGGTGCCACCACCTGCCTCCAACTCCACTCACTCCTCGCTCCCTCTTACCACCCATGCGTGCTTGATCTACCCATACCCTCATCTCCCCCACTTTGATTTGGTCTCCCGATCCCCTGTCTCACATTCCCCCTTTTCTCCCTCTGGTGTTGCCCCTCCTCACTCGTTCACTCTGGCGTGCTTCACCCGGCTCTCTGCCGGTCCGGACCACGTGTGTGTGTGTGTGGCAGGCTTCGTGCATCTAGCGGCGGAGGTCACGCTCGTCACCTCGCACGTTCTCGGCCAAGAGCTGCTCGCCGCCGGCGCATCTGCTGGTGAGCCCGTTTGCTCTGCGCTGTGTGTCGCATGCTGTGTCTTATGTGTTGTCGCAACACACTAATTGCCTCTCTCGTCCTCCCTCTCCCCTTCCCCTCTCCCCCTGTCTCCCCACGTGTGCGTGCACGGCAGCGGGGCGGCTGTGTGTGTGGAGGAAGGGCGTGGACTGCGAGACCTTCCACCCCAGATTCGCCTCGCACGACATGCGCTACACGCTCACGTGAGCACGGCATACCGCGCGGGCGGGGGAAGGACTGGTTGCTTGCCAGACGTTTCAAATGGAGGGGAAAGGGGGGGTGGATGTTTGGGATATAGGGTGGGGTGAGGGGAAGGGGAGATGGGACGTGCGCTGTGGGGCGGGAGCCGTTTGGACTGCTGGGATGGGCAGCATGGTGTGTTGCGTCCACTCATGGTTCTGCGGTTGAGGACTTTCTTATGCTCCCCAACGCGCCCTCGCTCGCACCCAGTTCCCTCCACGCCCTCACTCAGCCCCACAGCAACCAAGAGAGGTTGCTCTGATTTTCTCTGCATCTCACCACAATTCCCCCCTTCCATTGCCCTCCTTCCCTCCCATTGCGGGTGCCCTCCTACCCACGGCCACTGTGTGCGGTGTGGGTGTATGGCGAGCAGGGGTGGCGAGCCGGAGAAGCCGCTGTTGGTGCACGTGGGGCGACTGGGCGCGGAGAAGAACCTCGAGATGCTCAAGCCGTAAGCCCTGTCTGCTGCCGCTCTCCTGCCCCATCCAATCCTGGGCTGCACGCCCTATTGTGCTCTGTGCGTCTCACAGCCTTTCTCTCAAACTTGGTTCTTGTCGCTATCCTGCTGCCTGCCCTCTCCCTATTCTTCCCAACTCCCTATCCTGGGTGTCCCTCTCCACGCGTTCCTCGCCACACATACCCTGCAGCATCTTGGACCGGCTGCCAGGCGTGCGGATGGCGTTTGTGGGCGACGGGCCACACAGGGGCACTCTAGAGAGGCTGTTTGAGGGCACGCCCACGGTGTTCACGGGCATGCTGTCAGGCGAGCCCCTCACCGCCGCCTACGCCTCTGCCGACGTCTTCCTCATGCCCTCCGAGACCGAAACCCTCGGCTTTGTCGTCCTCGAGGCCATGGCTGCTGGTGTGCCCGTCGTTGCTGCTCGCGCCGGGGGCATCCCGGATATTATACACCGCGACGGGGAGACGGGGTTTTTGTTTGCCCCTGGGGATGTGGAGGATGCTGTGGGGAAGGTGCGCATGCTGTTGGACTCACGGGAGCTGAGGGAGCGAGTGAGGACGGCAGCGAGGGAGGAGGTGGAGGGGCTGGACTGGCGCGCAAGCACCATGGGGGTGCGTGATGTGCACTATGCAGCCGCCGTGCACCAGTTTATTAAGAAACGGGCGGCTAAGGAGTGGCTTCCGTGGTGGACCAAGGGTCGCGAGTGGGCATGCTTGCTCAGGGGGGTGCTGGGAAGGCAACCAGGGCAGGACGAGCACATGCAGAGTGCGTGAGGGTGGGTGGTTGGGTGGATGCATGCAGGCACTGGTGGAAAGAGAAGAGAAGCTTATGTTGAATAAAAAGGGTGGTGCGACGAGAGCATTGCATTGCATGGCTTGGATTGCCACGGTGTTCATGGGGCTCGGATAGACAGTGGAAGGGATTGGGAATGGAGGAGCATCCTTGCAAGACTGATTCACTTTTTGCTCCGCACTTGCCAGGGTACCCTGAGTTGGTTAGAACCAATGCTGTAATGATGGTGGTTGTTCTTTGTAAATGTTGTTTGTAAGTGTTACGGGCGCAATGAATCGAGGTAGCGGGGTGGGTGCGCGATGTGGGGGAAGGGTTGGGCTGGGAAAGGTAGAATTGGGGAGGTAGGGGAACTCTGCAGGAAGATGTGCGACAGTCCAAAGGAGTTGGGGGAAGTGCCGGGTAGGAGGAGTTCGTCAGAATTCCAACCACTAGTCCATAGTAATAATTAGGTTTGTTTCAGTAACGGATCAGAGCGCCCATAACCCTCAGGCTACCGTCATCGCCCGGATATAAGACATATATGTCTTATCTCATACACTAAAAAAAATGCTTGGGTTATCTTAAATTTGGGGAGGTTTTGGGTGTCTTATAAGTCTTATAAATGTGAAGAAAGAGGAATGAATGAACTAGGAAAGTGTGTGATACAAATATGAAACCCTAGAATTGAGTACCCCTTAGTGTCTACTCCGCTACAACCTACATAGGCTAGATCATGTATGTCTGTCACACCCCCATAGGCAAAGTGGGGGAGAACAAGGGGTCACAAGACCAGTCAAACAAAGCAAAACAAAGCAAGCTCAGGGTGGATCACAACGTCACCACACATTCCGAGCACAGGTTCAAAGGCCACAAAGCCAGTTCACATGCAGGATCATATATATAGGTAAACAAGCAGGTGCAGGTATATAGAGATCACAGTACAAGCAAAATCAAGAGGTAAGCAAGTGAGGCCAAGTAGGCACAAGACCTAGCATAGTACAGAATCGCTGATCATCACAAGGCTGAAGTGCCTTGGTGAAGATATCAGCAGTGTTGGCCTGAGAGGCCACGTAAGCAAAGCGCAGCTGACCACGCTGCTGCAGCTCACGAGCAAGGAAGTAGCGAAGAGCAATATGCTTCGTTCTGTGCTCCAGTCTGTGCTCCCGACACAAGGCCAGCATGGCCTTGTTGTCCACGTACAGAACTGGAGGAGAACGAGGCGGCTCTCCAAGGTCACTCAGCAGGTAGGTGAGCCAGCGTAACTCCTGTGCAGCCATGGCCCCAGCGTAGATCTCAGCCTCACAGCTGGAGCTGAGAACAGAAGACGAGCGGGTAGACCACCACGAAACAGAGCCGGAACCAAGGCTGAAGGTGTAACCCTGTGACGACCGCTGCGTAGCCAGGTCGTCAACCCAAGACGCGTCTGCGTGACCTGTGAGGACCACTGAACTCCGCCCTCCAAGCACGAACCCCATGCCCGACGTACTGCACAAGTAGCGCATCACCCTCTTCGCTGCAGCCATATGCTCTGGTCGGTGTCTCCCAGGAGCAACATAGCGTGCCAAGATGCTAAGAGGGTATGCCAGGTCAGGTCGAATTCAGGTCATCAGGTACATGAGGCAGCCAACAAGCTCTGGGTACGGGCCACTAGGTTCTACGGACTCATCCAAAGGCAGAGCTGAGAGCGAGTGGCGAGTAGACAGAGGAGTGGCCTGAGGCGAGGAGTACATATAGTCGAAGCGCTGAAGGACCTGCTGCACCATGTGTGACTGAATAAGGGTAATGGTGCGCCGTGCTCTGTCCCGGGTGATCTGCAAGCCAGCGCAGTTCACCCAAGTCTGTGCACGTGTGTCTCTTCTGCAGCTCGGACTTCACGTGGGCGAGTCCTACAGTGTCAGCAGTAGCAAAGATCAAGTCGTTGATGTACACGAGGATGTAGAACGGCGGCAAAGAGGCGTCGGTGCGTAGAAACAGCGACGGGTCGGCAGTAGAAGGAGCAAACCCAAGTGCCGCAAGTGTAGTCCTCAGTGTGTCGTGCCACTCACGGGGCGCCTGGCGGAGACCGTAGACTGGCCGCCGGAGGCTCCACTGGGTACCAGGAGGAAACGACCCAGTGAAGCCGGGTGGGTGGCGCAGCCAGATCTCCTTGTGCAGGCTGCCCTGTAGGAAAGCAGTGCTGAAGTCAAGAGAGTGAAGCTCGTAGTCGCGCTGAGCGGCTATGTGCAGCAGCACCGAAAGAGTGGTCATCTTCGGGGTGGGAGAGAAGGTCTGAAAGTAGTCAACTCCCTGTCGCTGACTGAAGCCACGAGCCACGTAACGCGCCTTGAAGACAGGCGGAGAACCCAGCGACCGCTTCACACTGAAAATCCACATGCCACTGACGATGTTAGCCCCAGGTGGGGGAACCTCGTCGACGTAGGTGCCTGTGGACTTCCATGAAGCCATCTCTGTGTCCATGGCTGACAGCCACTGAGAGAAGTAGGGACTCTCTATCGCCTCTGCGTAAGAGCGCGGGGTCGGGATGTCTGGTGCATCCGGGTCTCCCTCAGGGGCAACTAGCATGCACACGAGATGAGGTAAAGCAGCAGCAAATACTGGAACTCCTCCTGCCTGTCCTCAAGGACGTCCGTGCTAAGAGCACACTCACCCCTAACGGACGGAGGACAGACAGACTCAGACTTAGCAACAAGACTAGTGGCGTAGTCGAGACGAGAGTGAGCAGCAAAGTCGACAAGCTCAGCAACCAAGGCAGACGCAGCAGTGGACTCAAAGGAAGGGTCAGTGGCAACAGTGGCTAGGAGACGCGTGACAGAAGGACTAGCAGCACGAAGGGAGTCAGACTCCGGGTCAGCAAGAGCAGGAAGAGAGGACGCAGGAGGAGACGGCAGAGGGATACGCTGTGGAGCAGTGGAAGGACGAAGCGCCATCTGGTGTGTGCCTAGGACAGCAGGAGGACGCTGACGCAGAACGCGACGACCAGTGCGAGCAGCACGAACAGGCAACGCACGACGAGACTCTAGCGACGTAGGACGAGACTCAGGCTCACGACGCTCCGTAAGACCTCCGGTCAGACCAGTGTAGGGAGAAGGACCAGGGAGTGGCGAGGCAGGTTGTAACTGTGACTGCGAGTGGGTAGGAAGAGGACACTCTAAAGAGGGAGTAGGACCAGGAGAAGGTGGGAGACCAAGAACCTTTTGAAGGAGCGGAACGAAGTACGGCCGCAGCCGTGCAGCGCCTCCAGAACCAGCAGAGACACCACTAGTACCCTCAGCTCTAGGGTCTCCAGATACAACTCCCGCAGTACCACCAGTAGCTCCAGCAGCTCCAGCAACTCCAGCTCTAACTCCCGCAGCAGCTCTAGTCCCAATAGCTCCAAAAACTCCAGTACGAGCACCTCCAGGGCCATGGGCCCCAGCAGCTCCAGCACCAGCACCACCCCCAGCAGCTCCAGCACTGGCAGCACCTCCAGCAGCTCCAGCACCAGCAGTACCTCCAGCAGCTCTAGCACCAGCAGCACCTCCAGTAGCTCCAGCTCCAGCAGTACCTCCAGCAGCTCCAGCACCAACAACACCTCCAGCAGCTCCAGCACCAGCAGCACCTCCAGCAGTAGGCCCCCCAGCTCCAGCAGCACGGCTACAGCGCCGAGCGTACCACTCACGAAGCTGGAGACGAGCAGCGCGGATCCAGTCGATCAACACCTCAGTGAACTCACTCTTGCGGCGCAAGGGGAAGACTGAGGTGTAACGCGAGAAGTCGTCAACCACCAGTAGGAAGTAACGCTCATGACCCTGTCCACGGACGTGGGCTGGGCCCCACACGTCCATGTGGAGAGTCTGCAGCGGAGCCTCTGTCGGAGGAAACTCGGAGGATTGAGGAGCGGCGCGCTGCCGCCCCTCGACGCAGGAAACGCAGGTAGGGGCAGGCCCCGGAGGAAGGGGAGGTAGGGACCGGGGGAGACCAGAGACAAGGACACGGGGGGCCATGCCTCGGAGACAAGGCAGGGAGGGGTGACCAAGGCGGTGGTGCCAGAGGAGGGTCTGGTGGGACAGGAGGCGACAAGAGCAGGGGGCAGACTCAGGACCAGACCGAGACGCTGCAGCAAACACCTAACCCGACGCAGCTACCTGACTAGACGCAGCAATCCGGGGAGACTCGGTAGTCAGTGTGTACAGGCTCGACCCCGGCTGACGGGTAAACATGGCCAAGTGTCGGCCCGTCCGAGCACACGCGCAGTGGGTCACTCGCTGACTCGCAGGAGTGAACTGGTCAACCATCCTGTAGGTAAGCACCACTCACCAAGTTCGTAGAGAACGAGGGGAGGTAAAGACCTGACAGGGAGCCAGAGGGGGCCGCCGGACACGGTAGTACAGTTGAGTAGTGGGAAAGTATAGGACCCCCAGAGGGGTCTGCCAGGGAGACTGCAACCGGCCGACGAAGCGGCGTGAGTGTGGTGTGGTCTCGAAAGAAGGAGCGGGAAGCACCCGAGTCAAGGGTGAAGGTGCGTAAGACCGCAGCAGGCGCAGTACCAGAGAGAGCAGACTCACCAGCACCTGGAGCAGTAGACTCACCAGCACCTGGAGCAGGAGACGCACCAGCACCTAGAGCAGCAGCCTCACCAGTACCTAGAGCAGCAGATTGGATACCGGGGTCAGGCGGCACACACAGGTAACAGTCACCCTCACCACTAGTAGGTAATGCATACATGGCAGTGAGGATAGCATCATAGTCAATAGCATAGATATCTACCCTCTGCCTAAGCAGCTCCACCCAGTCGGGGAGCTCAGCCGCGTCGCCAAACTCTGTAAGCCAGGCGTCGCTCAGACGGGCGAAGCAGCGGGACTCTGTGTGACCAAACGTCCTGCAAGGCTGACCAGTCCGAGCACCAGTATGAATGACGTACGGGCAGCGAGCAGTACCCCGTGACACTCCACGCTGAGCATACCACTCACGAAGCTACTGGGGCGAAAGGACCGCGCGCAGACGACGCTGCAGCTGCACCTAG